AATACATAACTATACAATTGAATCTAAAAAACAAAGCAGAACAGAAACAGAATCATAGATATGGAGATCATTGGGAGGGTGACCAGTGGGGAGGGGTGTAGGTGAAGAGGTGAGGAGATTAAGAATTACTAATTGGTAGTTACAAAAATAATAACAAGTGCAAACCCATATACCAAAAATGGTAAAATATTGCTGAGAGAAATGAAAGAAACTTAAATTAATGGAGAGAAATAGCCTATTCATGGGTGGAAAGACCCATTATGGTTAAGATGTCAATTATCCTCGTACTCATCTACTGAGTCAATGTACTGGCAATTACAAGCTAGGCCTTTTTTTTTATTTTAGAAACTGACAAGTTGATTTTAAAATCTACATGGAAATGCAAATTACTTGCATTAACAAACGTGATTCTGAGAAAGAGCAAAGTTGAAAGATCTGTACTATTTGAGCTCAAGACTCAGTACAGATGTACAGCAATGGAGACAATGTAGCATCGGTATAAGGATAGGATATAGATCAGTGGAACAGAATCGAGAATCCAAACACAGATGCATACAGAGGATCAATTTGTGGCACAGGTGCCAAGGTAATTCAATGAGGAAAGGACTGTCTTTTAAACAAATGGTATCAGAAAACTGGTTATTCATAAGCAAAAGAATGAACCTAGTCCTTTACCTTATACCATGCACAAAACTTAATCAAAATGAATTTCACACCTACATATAAGAGCTAGAAATATAAAACCTTTTGGAAGAAATCATAGGAGAATATCTGTGACATTGGATTAGACTTTTTTAGATAGGACACAGAAAACACAAGCCATGAAAAAAAAAACATTTAAAATTAGACTTCATCAAAATTTAAAATGTTTGCTTTTTAAAAGACACTGTTAGTAAAATGAAAAGGCAAGCCACAGACTGGGAGAAAATATTTGCAAACATATCAGTTAAAGGATTAGAAACCAAAATATGTTGAAAATAAAAAAAATCTCACAACTCAATAATTGAGAAAACCTTAAAAAATTGAGAGGCCCTCACTGGGTAGCTGGGTTGGTTAGAGCATCACCCTAACATGCCAAGGTTGCAGGTTTGACCTCTGGTCAGGGCACCAGAGGCAGGCAATGAATGCATCAATAAACGAAACAACGAATTGATATCTCTCTCCCTCCATCTCTCTCTCTCAAAACAATACAGTTTAAAAATGGCAAAGGATTTGACTACATACTTTACCAATGAATATCTACAAATGACAAATAAGTGTATGGAAAGATTCTCACCAGCATCAGTCATAAGGAAAATGCAAAATAAAATCCCAATGAAATACCACTCCCCAGCCCAGGACAGTGGTGACCCCAGAGGCCCCTGGGCACTCTGCCCCTCCCAGCTTGCAGGGCTACTGATCCATCAGGTACCCCTCTCCTCCCTCCCACAACTTGCAAACGGGCTTTGTCTAACTTTGAAAATTATTATTCACTTTACTTCATATCAGTGGACACTCTGTCTTCCTGTTGTAGTTGGCCCACGCATGTCCCAGTGAACGCTTGCATGCACACATGCACGCTTTCCCCACTTTGATTCCTTTGACCCAAAGCTCTTTCACCCCATCCAAGCCTCTCCTAGGCATTTCAATGACAGCCAGCTCTCCTCACGGTGCCCCTTGTGTATTACTTCAGTTGGTATGAGTGCATTCATTCTTCTCACTGCCACACAGGGTCCCCCATGTGTGATGCGCACACGGTCAGGAGGAATGCCCAGCTGGGGCCCCTGTCTCATTCCCAAGGCATGGCCTCTCAGCAGCTTTGCTTGTGTCCTTCCTTCCTTTGGGGTACCTCTCTCTTCACAGCCTTATGAACCCAAGCTATCCTGCTTTATCATCACTTCTTTTCCATGTCCTTACCTGGCTCCTCTTACTCTTTCTTCCCAAATGTTTTTCAACCATCTATCCAGGGCCTACGAAATGCTTTTCCTCTCCATCTCCACTACCTGGTGTCATTAACCGTATCCCACCATTTCTCCCCTGGGTGCTTTCTATGGGCTCTGCCCTCACTCCTTTCACACAAAACCCTGTGTTCCTCCTGGCAGGGCCCAGGTCCTTTCACCACCACACCCACAGTGCAGGGCCAGAAGAACTTGCTGTTTGTTGAGCAAAAGGTTCTGATTACAGCCAGCCAGTGAGAGAGCAGAACAGGCAGATCTGAGATCCTGCTAGCTTTGATCTCCTGGCCCGGCAGCTGATGCCTGGGATGGTTAGTGCCCCTGCTTCCTGGGGCCCCCTGTCCTCTTCTGCTCAGACACTGGGCTAGTGGACACAAAGACCCACACCTTGACCACTCACAAAACTCTTTCTGCAAATGCCATCCTAGAGGGAGATGGTGGAAAGCAGGGCAGAGGAGCTGCCCTGGGGGAACTGGGGGCGTGAGAAAGGTGCCTGCTCAGTCCTGCCCAGGCCTGAGGCCCACTGAGGGTAACAGGTCAGCCTCAGGGCCAGGCCCTTCTCCAGCCTTCCACAACAAGTTTCCCAGTGCTCCCTGGGGTGAGCATGGGCTGGTTAGGCCACCCCCTTAAACATTTCTCATGGATCCTGCCTTCTTTCTCCTCTCCAGGACCCCACCTATCCGCCTGTCTCCACATAGGTGTCCCGCTCTCAGTTCATGCTGGCCTGGAGACAGGGCTTTCTGGGCAGTCCAGTGCCATCTCCGCTGACTCATGTGGCCCTGACAATGAATACTCTAGTAAGCCTTTCTTTCCATAAATTGCTGTCAAGCCCCATCTTTCTTGTGCCCTGTGGGGTAGCTGGGGCAGAGGCCTGCCTGGGGCTTCTCATCTCTGACCAGCTCCTTACTATAGGCAATAGGACTCAGCCGGGCCTTGGCACAGCGCCCATACAGCACCAGCACATGCACCGTGGGTTCCTGAGCCTTCTGGGCTCTCAGCAGAAGAACTAGACTCTCTGGCACACCCTCTGCCTTGGTAGGTGTCAGTTTCTCAGAAGTCCTGGCTAACGGGACGGGGGGAGTGGTTCTGTGAACAGCTTCCCTTTATGTTCCAGTCTTGGAGTGGACACAATCCCCTCCCCTTGCTTCTTGGAGCCCAGAAAAAAACACAGGCGGGCGGGGGGGGGTGGCCTTCCCCAAGAATTTTCCCTGGGCTCAACAACAGGAAACCAGGAGTGTGCAGAACAGAGATGGTCACGGGCCTAGCCTCATGGCTCAGGGGCCCCGCCCTGTGGCAGCTCTCCACTGGGATCTAGCCCTGCATGGCCTATATCAACACCAAGCAGAGAAACTCATAAGGAAATGATTGTCCAGGAAGGTTGGTACCACTTCCTGGCCAGTCCCAGGAGCTTCCTTCCCTAGCCTCTACCACTGCCCTACATTAGTGCAACCAGATGTTTGTGGAGGCTTATCACCTGCTGGTTCCAGGTCTTTGCCCATCTGATGACCACGGGTTGACCTTCAATTATTAGATGCCCAGTGTACAGAGGAGTAGGCTGAGGTGGAGAGAGCTGGGCATAGCCTGTGCAAGGTTGCACAGCTGGGGAATGACAAAGCAGGGACATGTGCTCCTCTGTAGGCACCTCAGTTCCTGGTGTGGACCAGAGAGATCCCATAGCTCCTGCAAGTCTGGGAGAATCTTGGGGACCGAGGGCACAGAGGTCACTCCAGGCTGGCACATGTGTGATGTCGGGGGGGTAGGGTGTGTGTGTGGTGTGCATGTGTGTGCACTGGGTGCTGTCTGTGCAGCACCTGTAGGAATAGTGTGCGTTGTGTGCTGCTGTATGTGTGGCTGCGGAGTGTAGGGTAGGGGTGTGCCGAGTGTATGAGACACCTGCCCTCACGTCCCCTCTGCCAGGTCAAAGGCTAGGAGGGGCTGGGGCACAGCCAGCCTCTCTGGCTAGGAAGAGGAAGCCTTGGACTTGGTCGTACTTGGGCCTGGTCATTGAGGGGCTGTTTTTGGTCTCTAGGCTTGCAGATCAACAGAGAAGACGGACAAACAGGAAAAAAGAGCTGAACTCAGCTCAGAGCCTGGCCTTTGGCAGTGTGCAGGCCACTGCCTTGCGCTGGGCTTCTAGGCTGAGGAAGTCAAGGCCTGTGGCAAGGGCAGGGGAGGGGTGGAAAGAGGGCACCTGGGGTGGGGAAACCAATGGGCTGGTGGTTGGAGAAAGTCCTGGAGCCTGAGAAGGGGAGGGGAGGCAGGGAAGGTCATTGCCTACAGACCCTGGCAGGGAAGCCCCTACACAGGGTGCAGAAATGTCCATGTCTGTCTGTCTACCTACGATGCTGTGTATATGCTTTTGTGGGTGTACGTGAGGGTGTGGGGTGTGGGAAAGAGAGAGGAAGAGGGAGGGAGAGGAAGAGGGAGAGAGACAGGGAGGAGACAGGATTGAGGCGGGGACAGGGAGAGCTGGAATATGCCTGAGTGCAGGAGCTCACAAGCCTCCTCTTCCTAGGACAGGTAGTTTCGGATGGGGGAGGGGGGAGAGGGCAGAGGGTCCCAGGCTCCCACTGGGCCTTGGGGAGGAAACTGGATCTCACTGGGCACATTAAGACCCGGCTTGATCTCACCCCACCTCTTCCCTTCCTGTCCCTCATCTCCGGCCGGCCCTCAATGAGGAGGGGGAGGGGCCTCTGTGGGACTGGGAGGGCTGTCCCTCTGTTAGTGGGGATTCCTTGAGCTCTCACCCTTTCCTTACCCCTGCCCAAAGAGGACCAGAAGGAGCCTGGCTTGGGAAAGGGGAGTCAAGCTTTGCCACAAAAAAAGCTGTATGATCCTGAGCCAGTCCCACCCATCTCTGATCTCAGTTTCCCCACTTATAATGGGGACCCTGAACTAAGCGATCTCCCAAAGCCCTGCCAGACCCGACATTCCAGTAAGCTGGTCCCTGCAGGGGTGGGGGCAGTTCAGAGGACAGAGGAGGGAGGGTGGCTGGCCTAGAGGTCACAGCTGGGTCAAGATGGGGACGAGCCTCAATGCCCTCAGGAACGGAGTAGGGGAAAGGAGTCCTGGGAAAAGTCCCTGGAGTGGCTGGGGGCAGGAAGGGAAGCAGTCCTTCCCGGTGCCACAGGCAGGAGGCCAGGGGAGGTGCATGGGGAGCGGGGAGGAAGTCCCCTCCTGGGCAGGTCACTCCCAGAGGCTGGGTTGGGGCGGGGCAGGCGATGGAGAGCAGATTTGAGCTCCTGGGATACCTTCGAGCCCGCTGCTGCCCAGCTTCCCAAGAATCCAGGAGCCCAGCCAGGTAAGGGGCTGTCAGGGGTACCGGAGGCATGCTGGCCCTTCCCACCCAGGCCTCAGCCCTTCCATGTCCCCGTCTCTTGGCCCCTGTTAGGGCAGGAGGTTCTAGATGTTTGCCTTGGGTCTCGTGGACTGCCTAGCTGGGTCCTAGGCTCAGTCTGTCCATCTATTTAATTGCCCCTTTCTCTGTCTTCCCCCTGCCCAGTCCTGGGAGGAGCATAGCAGGGTCCCGAGGTCCATGCCTGCTCAATGGGGCCACACCTCACCTACCTTGATCGAGCTGAGGGTGTGCACCCAGCTCCCGATCGCTGGAGAACAAATGCACACACAAACCCCAGCACCTCATGGCTGATACACAGCTGCATGCACAGGCTGGAGCCCCCACCCCACCCCACCCCACCATACACACAGACACTCTGCCACCCTGGCACCTTTCTAAGGGCCTCTGTCCACAGACTCTGGGCAGCAGGGTGGGCCCTTTGGATGGAAGGTTGAGCTTGCCACCCTATTCTCCTCCAGGTGTTCAGGACACCCGCCCCGGCCCCAACATGCTTGTGGCTTCCACCACCTCTGGTAAGGTTCTAGCCACTGGGTCCCTACCCCTGCCCGCACTGGGATGAGCCAGGTGGGCTGAGTGGAGTTGCCTCGAGTGGGGTTGGAAGAAGCCAAGAAGCCCCTCTTTCAGACACTTCATTCACCTTTCTCTCAAGGCTGCCCATGGGGGCTGGGGCTGCCCTTCCCTCCATATCATCTGAGGTGGGGAGATGATGTGCGCTCTGCTGGTGGAAAGGAAGCAGAAGATCCAGGTCACTTGCTCTGCCTGTCTAGTTGGAACCTCCTTGGGCTCTCTGATTCCCCTGTACAGCACCCTCCCTAACTTGCCCTCTCCCCCCATCCTTGCCCAGCTGTTCTTGGAGCCGTCTCTCCACCTCTCCCACTTGGCAACAGCAGCAAGGAGAAGCCTGCGGACACCCGGAACCAGCTGCTAGCCCAGGCAGAGGTGGCCCTGCTCTCCGTAGTCTTTGTGGCTGTGGTCCTGAGCAATGGCTTGGTGTTGGGGGCCCTGGCGCGACGGGGCCGTCATGGCCGCTGGGCACCTATGCACGTCTTCATCGGCCACTTGTGCCTGGCTGACCTGGCTGTGGCTCTGTTCCAAGTGCTGCCCCAGCTGGCCTGGGATGCCACCGACCGCTTCCAAGGGCCTGATGCCCTGTGCCGGGTCATCAAGTACCTGCAGATGGTGGGCATGTATGCTTCCTCCTACATGATCTTGGCCATGACATTGGACCGTCACCGTGCCATTTGCCATCCCATGCTGGCACACCGCCACGGAGGTGGAGCTCACTGGAACCGGCCAGTGCTGGCGGCCTGGGCCTTCTCGCTCCTTTTCAGCCTGCCACAGCTGTTTATCTTTGCCCAGCGTGAGGTGGGAGCCAACAGCGGGGTCTTCGACTGCTGGGGTCACTTTATTGAACCCTGGGGCCTTCGTACCTATGTCACCTGGATTGCCCTAATGGTGTTTGTAGCACCTGCCCTGGGTATCGCTGCCTGTCAGGTGCTCATCTTCCGGGAGATTCATGCCAGCCTGGTTCTGGGGCCAGCGGAGAGGCCTGGGAGGCGCCGAAGAGGGTCCCAGACAGGCAGTCCCAGCGAGAGGGCCCCTGTGTCAGCAGCTGTGGCCAAGACCGTGAGAATGACGCTGGTGATTGTAATTGTCTACGTGCTGTGCTGGGCACCCTTCTTCCTTGTACAACTGTGGGCAGCGTGGGACCCGGAGGCACCTCTGGAAGGTGGGTGTGGCTGTGGCTAGAGCTATGGGGAGGGCTGGGGCTTGGATGCATATGCACCTCTACCCACCCCACCCCACACACATGAACATCTAGCTGTGGGATTGCTAACCGCTAGCAGGAACATGGTGTCGTGCCCCTGCCTGGGCACCCTCAGCCCCAACCCTTCTCCTCCACCTACACAGGCCCCCCCTTCGTGCTGCTCATGCTGCTGGGCAGCCTCAACAGCTGTACCAACCCCTGGATCTATGCCTCCTTCAGTAGCAGTGTCTCTTCAGAGCTGCGCAGCCTGCTCTGCTGCGCTAGGAGGCGCACCCCACCCAGCCTGGGGCCCCAAGAGGAGTCCTGTGCCACCGCCAGCTCCTTCCTGGCTAAGGACACTTCCTCCTGAGAAGCCAGGGGGCGCCTTCCTTCCAGAAGCTCCACAGAGCTCAGCTGCCTGTCAAGGGGCTGGTCCTGGCATTCAGAGAGAGGAGGGCCAACTGGGAATTGGCTCCGGATAGTGACGGGCCCAGGGCAGCTCCTTTGCACCAGGTATGAGGAGGGGCTGCAGCGGCACTGCGTGGTCCATGGCTTCTGCCCTAGGCAGAGCCTGCCCCTGAGATAGAGGTCCCGGGGAGCCCAGAAGGAAGGAAAGAGGGCAAGGCCAGGGGAGCTCCCTTTCTTCACTCGTGTATTTGCTCTCTGTGTCCCTTCTCACTCTCTCCCTAATAATAAAAGTATCAGCTCATTTTCCACCCAGTGAGTCTCCTTGGATTAGGCTAACAGCGGGTGTGAAGGTGACATGGAAAGACATTCTCAGAAGCCCCCAAATACACACAGCTCCACAGACACATGTGTGACTCTGGAACCCATGATGCAGGTGACCGAGCCTTCAAATGTACAAGTCCCCAGTCCACATGGCCCTATGCCAAGTCTCTCCCGCTGCCTGCAGAGGCTGTTCCAGCTGCCCAACCTTCCCCCTTTGTTGAACACCCTGGCATCAGGCCTCAAACAGTAGGGGTGCCAGGGGGTTGGCCCTGCACCCACCTGCCCAGTCCACCAACACAAGAGAACTGGCTCACGTCGGGGGTCAGTCTTTATGGATGCTGCCAAACCCTGCCAGTCTCACGTCCTCGGCTGAAGCAGAGACGGGCCTGGGTACTGACAGGCATGCTCCCCTGAGCAAGGGCACACACCACCCGACAGCCCTCACAGAAAAGCCAGGTAGGGGCTTGCCCCCAGCCTCCCTCTTTGGCTGCCTCCTAAAAGGGCCCAAGCCAGGGCTAGGGCAGGCAGGGGCTTGTTTGGCCGGCCATGTCCTTCTCTCTGCAGAGGGTCAGGAGCAGGTGTTCAGTGCTTGCTGGACAGGGCTGGACAAGGCAGGGAAAAGCAAAGGGCCTGGGAAGGGTAGAGTCTTGCTGGTGATCCCCTAGGGTGGGGGGCCCGCTGAGGAGCCAGCAGCACCTCAGTGTGGCTTGAGGGGTGAGTCTGGGCCCTGGGGGTGGGACGTTGAGGGTGAGGTCGGGGCCCCAGGGCTGCGGGAGAAGCCTTTGTGCTTGCCGAGGCGGCCGCAGCCTGGAAGCCTTGGGCTACGGGGCCCGGGGCCAGGAGAGCTGGTCGATGCTGGCCCAAGGCCCTGACGGACAGCAGCTTTGCCCAAGAGCTCCTTAAACACCGAGTCCATGGTCTGTGCCACAGCCTGGCAGAGAGGTGAGAGAAGAAGGGCCTCTGGTAGGAGTGTCCCCCACTGCCCAGCCACTCCCCCTCCCCCTGGGTCAGTGAGATGACAACTAACCCGGGCATGAGGCCCTCCTACCCTCTGTTGCCCGAGCCTCCACCAGAACTCCCCACTCCAAAAACAAAGTCCTCTGCCACCAACCTGTCACCGGGCCCTTCCTCTCTATGCACCCTCAGTTACTGTCCCTCCTCCCTTGCCCAGTTTACCTTCTGCCACTTTTGGTGGGACTCTCACAACCTCCTTTGGGGACAGCAACCTTCAACCAGCCTTGATGTGTGGGAGCCTCATGCCTACTCTCTCCGTGGCTGAGACCTGCTACATGACCTCGGGGGCCACCAGCATGCAGGACCTCCCAGGTCAGCAGTCGCTTGCACCTCGCCTGGACCTGCCTGCTGCCTGCCTCCCCCCAGAATGTCTCGGCTGCACTGCCCCACTCCTACCGCCTGCTGATCCAACTCAGCCCCCTGCCCCTGTGTTCCCAGGCCTGGCCACTGGGCTATACCTAGGACACAGTGTGCTCTCCAGCTCTCTCTGTGAGCGCAGACTGTCCCTAGAGCCTCTGTCTCGGCTGGGAACAGTGAGCACCCATCAGGTGGTCAACACAGGCTCATCAGACAGAGCAGGGGCTGGGTCTCCCCAGGTTGCGCACCTTGCCAGGGCTGCACACAGCACCTCCTCTCTCCTCCTGACAGAGCCACTGTGCTGCCCAGCTCCCCAGCCAGCCACCCCCTCCAGCCTCTTTCCATCTGTCCCTCTCATCTTCCTTGGCCCACCAAGCTCCTGCCATGTCACCATCTGTCACCTAGCTTTGCTCCAGATTCCAGCCTTAAAGGCTGTCTGATAGCCTGCGCCCATGCCACTTACCACTTCCCGCTCAACCAACCATAAAACCCAAATGCATGAGCCTTCATGTCACCCTGTCCCCTGCCTCTGGGCATGTCCTTCCCCTTAAACTTATACCCTTGCTGACCTGTCACTTTTTGGGTTAGCCTCAAGCAGCCTGTCTGAGGCCAGGAGAGGCAGACTTAAATCTTAGGAAGGAAGAATCTGATTCATAAGGGGAGGCAGAGACCCCCAAGAGACATGCTCCCACCTGCCACTCAGCCAGTGCCCGCTCTCACCTTATCCACCTCCACATGTCGGTCTGGGGAGGTTGGGACCACGAAGTGCCGTCTGTGCCCAGAAGGGCCCCCAGGTGAGGTGCATGGCTCTGGCCTGCAGGGCACAGACAGTGAGCCTGGCAGGGGCCCTGGGAAGTCCCTGCACTGAGCTGGCAGTGGCTCCTCCCATCTCAGGGTGTGCCCAAGGGAAAAAGACAGCGGGGCTGGCCCAGAGGGTCCATCCTATCATCCACTGACATCCCTCACCTAAGTGGGCCCCTCTCCGTGTGCCCAAAACCTGACCCCAGCCCCCTCCAGCCTGTTCATTGTTTGGGACAGGGTTGGCACCCCCCAACAGCGCTCAGGTGGGAGTGGGCAAGTGAGGCCACGAGAACAGGTCTTCCTGATGGGCTGAAAACCCCTTGCTCACCGATGGAAAAACTCCATGGCCAGGAGGCCCTCTGGACTGCTCACCAGCTCCCCTGCAGCCTGCAGCCCCTGGCCCACTGACGGCTTCTCTGCTCTGTGGTCAGAAAGATGGCCTGTTTAGGATGCTGGGGGAGGGTGGCAGGCTTCGTGTCTCAGTGCCAGCCAGAAGTCAGAAAGGCACACAGAAAGCCTCCAGATGCTGGGACTTGGGTTGGTGGAACGGCCAAGACCTGGGTTGAAGGGAAGCTGTGGAGAGCCCCCCGGAAGCATGTGGCACTCACTTACCCCCCAGGCAACGTGATGTACTTGTGGGGAATGAGTCCCCGGTTGCCAGCGCACTCGCCCCACCACCAGTCGCTGGAGGCCCGCTCATGTAGCCGCAGCACATCCCCACGCTGGAAGCTTAGCTCCTTGGCTGTGCGGCCTGTGTAGGCAAAGCAGGCCATGGCCTCCACAACGCCCTCTAGGACTGGAAGAAGAGAGGATCTCAGTGGGAGGGGTGAAGTGGGCATCCAGGGTGGGGACAGGGTGGGGTCCTCCTTCTCAATACCCTCACCATCTTCCTGGGCCAGGGTCCCAGCTTCCAGCTCCGGCTCATTGTCCCCTGCCAGGCCCTCCACCTGGGTGTCCCTGAAGTCCAGAGCAGAGGGAGGAAGATCGGTGGTTGATGGGGCTCCCCTTGGCTGGACGCCCTGCCCCACTACAGGCAGCACAAACAGCATACCCCAGGCAGCTGGCAGAAGGCGGCGCCATGCACTTCTCGTAGACAGGGCCTGGCAGCAGGGTCAGGGACGGGAAAACCCGAGCAGGCTGCACGATGAGCGTCTGCACCAGCTGGTTCACCCGGGCCTGCAAGGCCACAGGGTCCTGCCCAGCAGGCACGGGCAGCAGTGTCGGCCCAAAGCATACGGCCAGGTTGTACGGGTCCATCATGTTCTCATCACTATACTGGGCCAGGCTGGGGGCACATGCAAGTCACAAGCAGGGAACTCCCTGCCCAGTGTCCCCGGCACCCCCCACATCAGCCGCTCCTGCCTCCTAAGAAGCACTCACTGGTTGAGGAAGGTGAAGAGGTAACGCAGGACCACCAGCACCGGTCCCGGCAGCTGTGCTAGAAGGCGGCTCACAAGCTCCACCCGCTCTTCCATGGCCTCCAGCTCTGTGGCCAAGGCCACCACCCCAAAGAGGAAAAAAGCCCACGAGTGTGGACACAGCCACTGGGGATCGGCCCCTCCCACCCAGCCGACCTCAGGCCCTGGCCTCACCAGCAGAAGCCAGAAGCTCTGTGAACAGGTCTGAGGAGAAGAGTGGGGGATCCAGGCTCCGAAAGTAGAGCTTCAGCACTCCCGCCACCGAGTCCAGGTCACGGGCTGTGCAGCCTTCCACCAGTGGGTCCTCCCCTGACGACAATGCAGGGTACGAGAAGGCTGATCACACCCATTCTAGCTAGCCCCCCACCGCCGCCCTACCCTGCCTGTCCCCACCTCTTTCGAAAGCGTCGCGTATCTCTGAGATCCGGGGCTGAGCACCCGACACTCGGAAGATGCCCTCATGCTGTAGGCCTGCAGGAGGACAAAGAGCCAGTGGGCACCGAGTCCTCTCCCCACACCCTCCACATGGGTGCCAGGTACTGGGTGCCAGGCTTACCGTTGAGGTTGATGAAGCGGATACAGCTCTCCACCACCAGGGGCACGGGCTGGCCTGAGCTCTGGGGACAGAGAGGGTGTTCACTTCTCTCTGGGCACAGCAAGTCCCACCACGTCATTTGCTTGCTTTTATTTTATCCTAACAATGTTATGGTTGTTGGCAATGAGGCCTAGCATGCAGCTTGCAAGATTCAGTCCCAGGTGTCTGATGTCCCCCGTGCCGTTTTAGGCAGAGCCTTACATTTTACCTGCTAACTGTTTGCCAGGATGTGCAAATGGCATCCGATTCTGCATGTTGACCTCGAATCAAGTAGCAGTGCACAACTCAAATTGGTTCTTTTAAATGCTCTGTCGACTCTTTGGAATGTGTACATGCATAATCACATCATGACAAATAATAGATGCTGCCTGAGGCTTTGGGGAGATGCCTGTTTCTAGTTCAGGATGTTCCCTTCGATCAGCGGAGGCCTGGCAGAGGCCCACCCAGGAAAGGCGGTTGGCAGTGAAGGACACCAGGGTCACAGGCAGCCGGGTTACAGAGGCAGCCCGGGGCTGGAGAGAGACAAGAATGCAGGGGAGGGCCTGCATTCAGTTGGAGCGGGAGGCAAAGCAAGTACCTGGATAAACTTCTCCATGTCTCCCCCGAAGAGTTTCTGGTTATACTGGGAGCTGGGGCGGGCATGGCGGCTCTTCTGGAATTTTCTCTGTGTGTACTGGGCCCTGTAGTGAATGGAAGCGGACTCTGAGGGTTGTGGGCATGGGGAATAGGGTGCCCCACCGCCCAGCCCAACCAAACAGGGCCCTGGAGCTTGAGAGTTACTTCGGAACCCACTGGGCAAAGTGGAAAATGGAAGCCACAGAGGAATGGGAAGCAGAGCTGGGCCCCGAGGAGAAGGGACAGGGGACATCACAGCTTGACCCTTGCAGAACCCCAGCTCCTCAAAACAAACCAGCCTCTCATGAAGGACTCACCATGACACCTCCTGTTCCTCCTTGTCACCTGGGGGATAGAAAATATTGGTGTGCCTCTCAGGCCAGGAGGCCCTCGATGCGCCACAGAGAGAAACGTGTGGCCTAAAGGCCAAGGGCGCTTAGTGAGGCCAAGGGCGCTTAGTGGGGCCAAGGGCACAACAGAGGCCAGGACCTTTGCTGGGTTATCTCCGTCCCACCAGCAAAGCTCCTCTCTGGTCAGAGAGCAGTACGGGCTGGGTGGGGTTCCAAGGCAGAAGAGCCAAGGGCAGGTGCTGCTCCTGGCCCCTGGGGTGGAGTGGAAGGGACCAAGGAGACCAGGACCAGGGCCCACCTCGCTGAATGGCCTCCTGCAGTTTCTCATGCTTGGCCTGCAGCTTGGCGAGGATGCTCCGTCCACTCAGATACTCCTGTAGCTTCTGGGAAGCCCCCCCAAAAACCCAAAGTTTTAGTCCTAGCTTTGGGTACCCCCTGTACCCTACCCCTGCCCTCCAGCTCAGCCCTCCCCACCGTGATGTAGAAGGTCTCAGTCTCCTGCTGCTGGCCCCTCCTGCGGCCAGCCTGCCGAGCACCTGGGTCCGAGTTGGTGGACTTGAGGGACTCAGTGGAGGGACTGGCCTGGAAAGAGTCGACCACTTCCCCATCTTCCAGTGCCATCACCTCCAGCAGGGCCTGCAGTGTAGCCTTCAGTGTCTTGTTCACCTGGGGAGAAGGCAGGAAGTTCAGGGCAGGAAAAACTGGGGACAGGCAAGGGACAAGAAGTCCAACTCTGAAGAAAAGGGAAGGGGCGGCCATGGCCACCTGGCTCAGTGTCTCCAAGTCTTTGTCCCCATCACAGGCCAGGCCATTCATACCTCCTCTGTCTCTATTGTCTGTCGGTCTAGGCGGCTCTGGATATTCTGGGCTCTGGGTAGAATCTCGTCCCGCAGCTCCACCTCGACCCGGATGTCAGCCACCTACAAAGGGCAGCGTCCGAGGAACTGAGGACTCAAACATGGGAGGGGGAGTAGGGCTGGGCAGCAGACACCAGGGTCTCCAGGGCACGAGGGAACTGAGCGCAGTTCCACTGCCTGATGCACAGGACCACCAGGCCTCGATGCTTCGCGCATCTGGTCCTGGTGAATGGCAAGGGTACTGCCCCAAGGGAGAGGAGCACAACCACACACACCCAGGCCTGTGCACAGACACTCAGGCAGCACCCTCATAACAGCCCCGGGGTGACAGCAGCCTGAGCGTGTAGCAGCTGATGGATGGGTAAGCAAATGTGCTGTATCCACACGATAGAATATTATTCAGCCACGAAAATGAATGAAGTCCTGCCTGCCGTGTGCTGCAACATGGGTGACCCTTGAAGACATTCTCTTGAGTGAAAGAAGCCAGACACAAAAGGCTATATATGGTATGAGTCTGTTTACGTCAAATGTCCAGAAGGAGCAGATTTGTAGAGGCAGGCACACCAGGGGCTGGGCGAAGGGATGGGAGTGACTACTTATTTTTTTTAATGGTCAGGAAGGCTGGGGTCTGAGCCAGAAGATGGAAGGCTTGGCCACACCTCTCCTGGGGAGAGCAGAGGGCAGAAAAACGGCTTACTCTAATCAGGCAGAAATAGATTCCCACGAGCAGTGTGGGGGTGGGGGGCTGGGAGGAGAAAGCTTTAGGAAGCGAAGAACACATAAACACCCAGAAAACTCTGACATCAAGTTCAAATTGAGAGTGAGGGCTTCCCTTACCCATGACAGGATAAACACACCCTGCTCTCTGCTCCCCCATGCTCCACCATAATGGGACGCATAAAGGTAGAAGTCACAGGGACACCCGGGAGAGGGGAGGAGACGACAGCACAGAAGAAATGTCAACAGTCTTGTGGAAGATGGAGACCAGAGTATCTGACTCAAATGAGCGCAGACAGTAACCAGTCAAAGCAGCCACTGAAGCCAGAAAAACTCAGAAGGTGGAGGCAGTGGGTGCTTCCCAGGTGCAGGGGACTAGCTAAAAGTCTGTCTAGGAAATGATACCATGGTTTCTCAAAACATTACACGTAGACTTGTCACATGATCTGGCAATTGTGCTTTGGAGTATCCACCCAAAAGAAGTGGAAACAGGTTCTAGAAAAGATATTTGCATACTTCTGTTCATAGCAGAGGTATTCATAGTAGTCAAAAGATGGAAGCAGCCCTAGCCAGGTAGCTCAGCTGGTTAGAGTGTCTGCCCAATATGCCAAGGTTACAGGTTCGATCCCCAGTCAGGACACATACAAGAATCAACCAATGAATGCATAAGTAAGTGGAACAACAAATCTCTATCTCCCCCACCCCTTCCTCTCTCTCTATAAAATGAATAAACAAAAAAAATTTAAAGGTGAAAGCAACCCAAGCGTCCACCGATGGAGGAATAGACAAATAAAACATGGTCTCTCCATGCATCAGAATGTTATTCAACCTTAAAAAGGAACAAAATTCTGATACATGTTTCAACATGGATGAACCCTGAGGATATTATGCTAAGTGAAATAAACCAGTTACATAAAGACAAATAGAGCCCTGGCTGGCGTAGCTCAGTGGATTGAGCACAGACTGCGAACCAAAGGCTCGCAGGTTCAATTCCCAGTCAGGGCACATGCCTGGGTTACAGGCCAGGTCCATAGTGGGGACCACGCCAAGAGTCAACCACACATTGATGTTTCTCTCTCTCTCTTCTTCCTTCCCTTCCCCTCTCTAAAAATTAAAAAAATAAAAATAAAAAAAAGACAAATAGTGTAGGATTCCACTTGTATGAGATCCCTGGAGTAGTCAAATTCAGAGACAGAAAGCAGGGTGGTTGGTGCTAGGGTTGGGGGAGGGGAATGCGGGGGTTAAGTGTCTATAGGAACAGAATTTCAGTTTGGGAACATGAAACGTTCTGGAGATGGATGGTGGTTGTGGTTAATGTGCTTAATGTCATTGAACAGTATGCTTAAAATGGTAAATCTGGGCCCTGGCTGGTATGGCTCAGTAAATTGAATGCCAGCCTGTGAACCAAAGGATCGCTGGTTTGATTCCCAGTCAGGGCACATGCCTGGGTTGTGGGCCAAGTCCCCAGTTGGGGGCACGTGAGAAGCAACCATACGTTGATGTTTTTCTCCCTCTCTTTCTCCCTGTCTGTAAAAATAAAAAAAAATAAAATCTTTTTAAGAATTCATAGTTTACAAAAATGGTAAATCTTTTTTTTAAGATTTTTATTTATTTATTTTTAGAGAGAGGGGAAGGGAAGGAGAGGGAGAGGGAGAGAAACATCAATGTGTGGTTGCCTCTCGCACGCCCCCTACTGGGAACCTGGCCCGCACCCCAGGCACGTGCCCTGACTGGGAATCCAAGCAGCGACACTTTGGTTTATAGGTTGGCACTCAATCCAATGAGCCACACCAGCCAGGGTGGTAGATAAATCTTGATTAAAAAAAAAAGTCTTTCTAAACAATAAAACAAACAAGCAAAATAAAACCAAAGACACTGAAATTGAGAACAGGCTGACAGTGACCACGGGAGAAAGGGGAGGGAATTTCAGGGGAAAAGGGGAAGGGTTTACAGGAACAAGTATAAAGGACACATGGACAAAAACTGGGGGGTGGGGGTGGAAATGGGCGGGAGGTGGGGAGGGATGGGTGGGTGGGCTGGGATGGGAGTAAAAGACAGAAAACTGTACTTGAACAACAATTAAAATAAAATTAAATAAAATATTGTTTTAAAAAAGTCTTTCTATACCATAGGTAGCACTGACATTAGAAGAATCACCCCCTCAAACCCACACAGTTAACAGAAAGCTAGAAGGGCCTGGCTGGCGTAGCTCAGAGGATTGAGCGCGGGCTGGGAACCAAAGTGTCCCATGTTCGATTCCCAGCCAGGGTACATTCCTGGGTTGCAGGCCATAACCCCCAGCAACCGCACATTGATGTTTCTCTCTCTCTCTCTTTATCTCCCTCCCTTCCCTCTCTAAAAATAAATAAATAAAATATTAAAAAAAAAAGAAAGCTAGAGATTTACTCTTTGGAAAGGATAAATTGGGGGAATTCTGGACTCAGGGACACTAGTCACAGCTGAAGAAGGAGGCGAAACCCCCCACAGATGAGAAAGAGTGGAGCAGCCGCCACCATCTGGAGCAGCCCCAGCTGGGTCTTACTGCTGTCCCACTGAACATGAGGAACATCATAGACAATCAGCATCAGACAAGGCCCCTTTGTGACCATGATGGCTGATAGGCTGAAGACTGAAACAAGACCACTGTGTAATCACGTCTGAGCACAGACAAACACACACATATTGGCCAAGCCACAAAAATAAGTAAACCTGACCCTGTCCCAGCTCATGAATGACTACTGCTTCCTCATCAATGACAGCTTTACTCTCCCTTCATCCCCCACCCTGCCTTCTAGAAGATTTATCAAGACATCCTAAGAACCCTGAAGCACCAATCCAAAAGAACCTATGCACCCCAATGTTCATAGCAGCACAATTTACAATAAGCAAGTGCTGTAAGCAACCTAAGTGCCCATTAATAAATGAGTGGATCAAAAAACTGTGGTACATTTACACAATGGAATACTATGCAGCAGAGAGAAAAGGAGCTCCTACCCTTTGTGACAGCATGGATGGAACTGGAGAGCATTATGCTAAGCGAAATAAGCCAGGCAGTGAAAGACAAATACCATATGATCTCACCTTTAACAAGAACTTAATCAACAAAACAAACAAACAAGCAAAATAGAACCAAAGACACTGAAATTGAGAACAGGCTGACAGTGACCAGAGAGGAGAGGGGAGGAAATTTCAGGAGAAAAGGGGAAGGGTTTACAGGAACAAGTATAAAGGACACAGGGACAATAACAAGGGGATGTGGAAACGGGAGGGAGGTGGGGAGGGCTGGGGGTAAAAGGCACAAAACTGGACTTGAACAACAATTAAAATAAAATAATAAATAAATAAATAAATAAATAAATAAATAAATAAATAAATAAGACACACAAAGTTACCCTTGCTTTCTGACAGCATCCAAGCCAGGGTCAATCCTCTCCCCAATCCCCACCCCGATTCTAGCCCAAGTCCTAGAGTTTTTCCTGAGACTTGCTTCCCTAGTTCCCCCCAAGGTATGAGTCTCGCTTGCAGCAATGATCTGAGTTCCTGCCCAGCCACCCCGTGGGGAACAGCACTGTTGACCAGCACGGCTTACGCACATCATGTATCTAATTCCCTCTCTGTGCCCCCTCTTAAATATGAACTGATGGCCAAACCAGCCATTTAAGGAAAGCTCTAAAATGACAGACATAGATCAAAGCAAGTTTTTAAAAAATACTGCAAGAGAACCTGGCCAGGTAGTTCAGTTGGTTATAGTGGCATCCTGATATGTCAGCATTGTAGGTTCAATCCCTCATCAGGGCACATACGAAAATCAACCAAGGAGCCCTGGCTGGTGTGGCTCAGTGGATTGAGTGCTGGCCTGAGAACCCAAGGGTCACTGGCTTGATTAGTCAGGACACATGCCTGAGTTGGGGGCCAGGTCCCCAGCAGAGGGCATGTAAGAGGCAACCACACATTGATGTTTCTCTCCCTCTCTTCCTCCTTCCCTTCCCCTCTGTCTAAAAATAAATAAATAAAATCTTTTTTTAAAAATCAACCAAGAAATGCATAAATAAGTGTAACAACAAGCCGATGTGTCTGTCTCTCTCTCCTCCCTCCTTCCCTCCTTCAACTCAATTTTTTAAAAAATACTGCAAGAAAACAGAAAATGCAAGGAACAGAGAAAATACCTAGAAAACAAAGATAAACATTTCAGAAAGGTTTGAGAAAATATTGTCTTCATAAAACAATAACAAAGGGTTATAACAGAAATTTAGAAAACAAAAAAGAACTCAGAAAAAAAAAGTATAACAGTAAATTTCAAAAAATTTCAGCACGGGGTTGGTAGAGATAGTTGAAGAAACCTCTAAGAAATCAGAATTAAAAGGCATAGAAATAGGAAATAGGATAGAGAAAAGATAAAGAAATTAGAGAATTAAGCCATGAGGTCCAACATTTAATTATAAGAAATCTTTTTTATTGTGCATTCAATTACAGTCAACATTTAATATTATTCTGTTAGTTTCAGGTGTACAGCATAGTAGTTAGACAATTATATAATTTATGAATGGATCCCCCTGATAATTCAAGTGCCCATCTGGCACCATGCATAGTTATTACAATATTTATAGACCATATTCCCTGGGCTGTACTTCTACCCCCATGACTATTTTGTAACTACCAACTTGTACCTCTTAATCCCTTCACCTTTCTCACCCAGCCCCCAACCCCCTCCCATCTGGCAGTCATTAGTCTGTTCTCTGTGTCTATGAGTCTGTTTCTGTTTTGTTTGTTCATTTACTTTGTTCTTTAGATTCCATATATAAGTGAAATCTTATTTGTCTTTTTAAAATTTTATTTATTTATTTTTAGAGATGGGGGAAGGGAGGAAGAGCGGGAAAGAACCATCAATGTGTGGTTGCCTCTTGTGCAGCCACCACTGGGGACCCGGCCCACAACCCAGGCATGTGCCCTGATTGCGAATCGAACCAGCGGCCCTTCTATTAGCAGCCCATGCTCAATCAATCCACTGAGCTACACCAGCCAGGGCCATGTTTGTCTTTCTTGGTCTGACTTATTTCACTTGGCATAATACCCTCTAGTTCCATGCATACTTATAAGAATTCTTAAAAGAAAAGACTATTAGGGAAGAAAATTATCAAAGAAATAATACAAGCAAAACCTAAGGACACAACTTTCCAGACTGAGAGGACCCACTGTTTGCCCAGCATCATGAAGGGAAGAGAGTCCCCAAAGCATAGCATCCTAAAATTTTACAACAATAGGAAAAGAGACTATCCTGAAAGCTTCATGGAGAACAATTACAGATCATGTACAAAGACTCAGAAATGAAATGGCATTGCACTTCTCACCTATAATAGTGAAAGGAAACTGATTTTCTACCTTGAACTCTATATCCAGCTAAACTACCAATCAATTTCAAGGAAAGAATACAGACATTTTCAGATCTGCTCCAGAGCAAGGCTCTGAAAAAAAGAGGGAGTGTGCTGATTGTCTGGTGTGGAGGCAGGGCCATGAGCCCTACTGCGTGGTGGTGGGGGAGAGCCTGAGCTCGGCTCTTCCACAGAAGGAAGCTGGTCGGGCCTACGGCAAGTTGAAAAGCAGCTAGCAGCCTGCTGCATGATCTGAACACACAGAGGGAATTCCAGACGTAGCAGCTAGAAGACTGGGAAGTGCGTATTTCTGGGGAGTGGGAATGGGAACAGAAAGGGGAGTCGGAGAATAACTGTGTGCCATTGTAAGCCTTCAGTAACCTCTAGGTTTTTAAACTATTACTTTGGTCAAAATACAGACAAAATAACTAAAAGCTCCATGTAATCCCAGCCCATGCACAGTAACCATTAGGATAAATGGGTAAAGGGGAAAAAAAAAGCTCAGATCCAAGTAAAAAGATGCCTAGTTACATTTTCCTGCTTGTATGGTTTCTTTGCCTCTAAGTTTGTGTTATGAAGTGTCTGAAACATACAGAACAATTGGAAGAAGTGTATGTGGACAGCTATATGCCCACCTGCCACCTGGTGTCAACAGTGACATTTTTGCTGTGTTTGCCTTGTGGGGGGTGTCTGTGCCCTAGATGAACTGCAATGTCCTACAGAAGTCTGTTTGCTTCAGATGCGAGTGGGAGACCTCATTTGCCTCCAAGCCAGTGACTGAGGGTCTGAGAAATAAGCTGCACTCAGGAGTTTCAACTCCTTAGCAAAGTGAAATTCATTGACTTACCTCATGGGCAGACAGCACAAAGCCCTTGGCATCAATTCTGGGGGCATTAAGGGGCAGGGGCAGTGACCCTCACCTCATCGCCTTCGTGGGGCTGGTAGTCAAAACGAAGCGGGGGACAGAAGGCAACTGCATGCACCTCCAGCACCTTGGCCTTGTCTCCTGGAGGATCTAGGGCCTCCACTGCCTCTTCCAGGCTGCCCAGGCCCTGCATTTGGGAGGCTTGGGTGCGGCTCTCGGCAGCTGTGTAACTCCGGAAAACCTGCCCCAAGGCCAAGTGGAACCCGGTGTCACAGCACTGAGGAGAAAGCAAGGACACAGCTTGGATAGGCCCCAGTGCACTGGGCGCTGCCCCCCACACCCCGTCTGTCCACCCAGCACTCACGTCCATGAGGTCCAAGACATCATGCAAATAGTAGTTGCTGACGGCAGCGTTGACACTGGCCAGGCTGAGCAGATACTCATTGCGCGCCTTCGTACACTTGAGTTTGTGCTCCAAGAACTTGGCCTGACGCTGCTCAAAACCACACAAGTACACCAGGGCCATCTAGTTAGTCAGACCTCATAGTCTTTCTCCCCTGTCCTCTCCATGTGGACAGTTACACCTGAAGTCCCACAGGCCCCTCAAACAGTGTGGCCAGAAGCCCTGACACACTCACCCAGCCTGCCCTGCTGTGCACAAACCCTCCTGTCTCGGGCTGGCAGCCCCAGTTCTGCCTCAGGTCCTCCCAGCTTGGTACCTCCACATCCTGGTATTTCTGCCACCCTCAACCTCCTCATCCTCTTTTCAGGGCCCACTTCAAATGCTCTTAATCCCTGTATAGTACCCAATCACCCATTCTACGTTTCTTCTTGGCTCTGAAACCTCATAGCACTGTATCAAACAAGGAAGGTGGGGAGAAAGGCCTGGAAGCACCAGAGCTCTCTTCACCCCAGCTCTGCTGGGGCGGGGGACAGCTAGGAGCACAGGGGAGACAGTTACTATCCTCCTGACCTCTCTGTGTACCACTTTATCATGGGGAGCCTTCTAGAGCCGGCAGGGCTAAGCAGGTCCAGGCCCAGGCCCTCCCCTCACAGCTTTGCCAGAGGCTCAGGTCCTCCGCAGCCTCGCCTTGCCCCTCCATGCACCACTTTCCCATAGGCCCCAGTGTGGGCTAGGGACTCACAGGGACAAAGGCCAGGACCTATAGCCTTCACACACAGACCAATGTCCTCCAAGCCCACCTTCTCCACCAGCCGTGATCCCTTCTTGAGGGAGGTCTTGCGGAGGGGCCCCGCCTCCGTGCTGGCGGTGGCTGTGGCAGCAGCAGCAGCACTCCGACCGGCCCGCTTCTCCTCCTGCCGCTCAGCTTCCCGGAGCTTGGCCTCGGCATTCATGCTCTCTGTGTGGTATACCTGGTACGTCTTCTTGGCCTGCAAGGAGGCCCAAGACCAGGCAACCCTGCTGTAGGCCAAGGCCACAGCCAACCCTCCCCCTCTTCCTGGTACTCAGACCTGAGAGCTAGGTAATCCCATGTGAGCACCTAGCCCCCCAACCCTGTGCCCAGGACAGGGAGAAAGGCACCCAATTCTCCTTGAGCCTGGCTTGGTGAGATGCAATGTGATAGCCTCGCTCTGACTGGGGTGGACCTTGCCCCATCCTCACCGTCTGAAGCTCTGACACCACCTCCAGGAGCTCCTCCTGCAGCTGCTGCTCCAGATCCTTACTCTTGAGAAGAAGGGATGTGTGACCAAATCACTACCTCAGTGCAGCACACACTGGGGTGGTCACTTCAGCTTGGCACTAAAGGCTACACCCAGCTTCTTGCCACCTGATACCCATTTGGCTTCCTCCGCCCTCCCAACCCTGATGCCTCTAGATTGAGTACCCACAGACTGCCCTCAATAGATCCTAAGGCTATCGACATCTCCTATACCCAGGGTAAGGGCCTTACCTTCTTGACTATGCGCCCCACATCCTCCGCAATGTGACTCAGGCGCTGGGCCAAGGGCCCGGCCAGCACCTCACTGAGGGCTGCGCTGTCCCGGCTCTGCTGCCGTGTCTGTTGCAGCAACACAGCCCAGCAGTGCAAGGACGACAGGAGAGAAGGCTCCTTTCTGGGGGCAGAGGGGCACTCAGACTGGGAGCAGGACTTGGGCCCCGCTGCAACCATCCTGCCAACGAGAACCTACCGGAAGCTTTGGTGCTCCCGGCTGCCCCCCAGGCGTCCTCCTCTGCTGGAGAAGCGCTCTGCCAGCTTTTCCAGGCCTCGGGAGTACTCCAGCTCCACCTCGGCACGGCGCCGCATGAACTCAGCCAGCTCCTGTAGCAGCTCCCGCCGCAGCTCACCCTGCAGCTCCAGGCAGCGCAATTGCTCACTCAGCTGCCAGCGCATCTCTGTGGGGAACCATGGCTCAAGCCTGGGCAGGAGGCCATCCTGTCCACCCTGAGGGTGAGGGCTAGGGCTGAGGAGGAAGAAGGAAACTGGCTCCCAGGGAAAAGTTACAGGTTCAACCGTCCAGCTGAGCTCAGAACAGCTCTGAGGAAAGGGACCTCTAGGCTGAGGCTAAAGGGAACCAGCCGGCCCAAGTGGTTGAAGAGGAATGGGAAGGCTGTTTCAGGGTAAGAGGAGAGCTGCGCAGAGGCCTACAGGTGACAAGGAGTCTGGCGGATCGAGGAGGGGTGGAACCAGTTGTGATGGTGAGAAAATACAGCTGCCCTAGCCAGGCACCTTTCACTTCGGCTGCCCATAACTCTCTGGTTCCAGGAAAGCCCCTGAATTGCTTCCCCTGCCACTTCCTGCCCCTCAGGTGTCCAGGACCCCAGGCAGAACAGCCTCCCTGCAAACACAGACACACAGGGCTGCAAGGGGGCAAGGCAGCTGCAGCTCTGCCAAACCTGCAGCGGACTTGTGACAAAGAGCAGCCCCACACTGAAGGCCGGCGGCCAGGGAGTGCTGATTGGGTCTGACAAGTGAAGAGAGTGAAGAAACAGGCCTGTTTTTGGCCCCCAGTTCCCACTCCTGATCACAACCCCCAAGGGTACCCCGAGCCCCACCTCCCAGCAGACAGAGCCACACCCAGGGCCCCCACACTTATGGCTTTTGACACTTTATCATTGGCTTGATTGGGCAACACTGCTTTCCCCACATAGGCCTAAAACAAAGAACTGCCTGAATGACAAGCTTAAGCAACCTCTGCAAACACTTTTACCAGCCACTGCGTGCCCAGGTGGGCACTGGGGCTCCTGGGTAAATAAGTCACTGCCAGGTGCGGCCGGGTAGCTCAGTTGATTAGAGCATTGACCCCAATACGCCGGGGCTGTGGGTTTGATCCCCAGTAGCTGGGGCACGTACAGGAATCAACCAGTGAATGCATGAGTAAATGCAACAACAAATGGATAGCTTTCTCTCTCCCTCTAAAACATAATGAAGTAAATAAATAAAATAAGTCACCATCTTGGCTCTGACAAGCAGGTCACCCACTTATGAAGCTATCATGTGTCTAGGGAGGGGCAGTAATTGATTTATCTAGCAGAATGCTGATTACATGCTAGACACAGAGATACAGTGGCAAAGAGGGTTGACTGAGTGCCTGCCCTCATGCAGCTGAGATGGGGCTGGGGGCACAGACAGCCAGCGAACAGATCAGAGCAGGGGGATGGGGAAGGGTTATTTTAGAGGAGGGTGGTCAGGAACAAGTAACACTGGAGAAGAACTGAAGGAAGTGATGGAGGCTGCTGTGGGGACGCCTGGGGGAGGAGTGTTCAGGCCAAGGGAACAGTAAAGGTGGCTGAAGCCAGTGTGGCTGGGGTCAGCTGTGCCAGGGGAAGCAAGGGAGTGTGGAGTGCGAGAGGCCAGAGGGGACGAAATGCACAGGGACCCAGGTCCAGGTGACACCTGGCTGAAGCAGAGGGAGGGCAGCCACAGCTCCCTGGGGCTGCCATGGGGAGCCCAGGAGGAGGCCAGGTGATAAAGGGAAGCACCCAGCCAGGTTAGCAGCTACTGCACCAGTCCACACAAAAGACAGTAAAGGCTCAGACCAGGGAGCCAGCCTGGGAAGATGCGTGAAGTGGCAGGATCCGGGGTGGCTGTTTGAAAGGACTCCACTGTGAACAGCTCATTACCAGTACCGTCTGGATTTCTGGGCTGCCAGTGACTTCCCAGGGGTTGTGGAGTGTAGAGTAGCCTCAGTGGGTTCTGCCCATTGGGCATCCCCATCTCTGACTCTGATCTCCCTTTGGAGAACACCCGCTTCCCATTCTCAGCCCCTGGGTCCCTCTCCCTGACTCCAGCTGCTCCAGATGTTGCTGCCTGCATAACCAGTCCCTCAGGGCCTCCATCCCTATCCACCATTGGCTCCGTGATGGGGCTGGGGCCACGGTCCCCACACTTTCATTAGAATTACTGAACAGGTGCTCTTTTTCCACTGAGGGGTCAAGCTACATAAGTGGAAGCCTGGGGTACGGGAAGGCGTGGGGGGTTGGTGCTTCCTGACAGTGAAACCAATGCAGACCAAGGCAGAGCCAAGCAGTGTCCTTGGATTATCTGAGGCCAGGCTCCAGCGGCTGACTCTCAGTTCCGTGGGCCAGGTGGAGCGGTTTCTATTCCACTTGCAATCAGGAGAATCTTCATTGAATTGCAGTAACATTTTGTGAATAAAAGTATATTTCATTTCATTCCAAGAAATGTCTGAGACCTCCCAGCTCACCACACCTTCCTCTGGCACCTGCCCCACCTTCCCAGAGCAGCAACAGCTCCCTGGGGACAACTAAATAGTGTTGAATGGACCAGCCCGCCAAATTGTTTCACTTATTCTTCAGGGCAGCCACGCCTCGGTCAGGATCCAGACCAACGCACTGGCTGGCATCAAGTAGGAGATTTGGGAGCTAGTGCTTTGGGCTGTGTCTCTGTCCACCTCCCAGATCTCAGTTCAGATGCACTCATCAGACAACCACCCCCTGACCTCTCCCCAAACTAGGACTGGCCCTCTTCCCACCCCCTTTCTTGACCACCGGCTTTCCCTTTATAGTGGTTAGCATCGTAATAGAAACTGTGTGATTCCTTATTTATCAGATGTATCTGAGCTGTAGTAGGGACAGGGCTGGTTCTCTTTTGCTCAGCACTGTATTACCAGGGCCTGGGGCAAAGGAGAGGCATACAAAACGTCTGTCACAGGGAAGGATGGAATCCACTATGCTCGGGCCCCACCAGCACTTCCTGTGAGCAAGGCCCAGGTCTCACTTCTGCTGACAAGCAAAGCAGAAGAGAAGATGGCCTCCCAACCACGACTATGCTGACCTTTCATAATTCAGGGTATCAAGGCAATGATCCTGTTTTCTAGCATGGTAGGAAGTTTCTTTCGGCGCTGGAGGAGGTGGGGGGCAGGGAACAGAAGTTGAAATCTTTGGAGGGCCACAGCAGGCAAACATCTTAAAGATAGCCTTCCTGAAATTCTCAATTTTTCGGTGTGAATTAACTGAGCCATATTTGCTGGCTAAAGAGTTTCCAAAGTCCTTCATCCTCATGACATTTTGGGGCAGCAGGATGGGAGTCATTGTTTCCCTCAGAAATGACAAAGGTGAGGCTTGGAGAGCCAGCTCACCCCGCACCATTGCCTCGAGCTGGCTCTGGCTGGCAGGCGGCTTCCCTCACCTGGGGAGGACTCAGGCATACTTTGGTGTAAATGGCTTGCACTGGTAATTACATTGGAACCTGCATCTCTGGGTTGGAAGGAACTTCAAGGATCATTTCATTCTGCCTCCTAGGAGCCGTGGCATTCTATGACCGTGAGCAAGTCACCTCTCCTTGGAGCCTCAGTGTCTTCCATCGGTAAACAGTGATTGAGAATAGCGTGAAAGACACTGGGAAACTTTCTGGCCCCCAACTGCTGGTGCTTGGATGCTACCTCCTTCCCTTTGTAAGAGTTACCACGCCCTAAATAAAACCCCCAAATCAAACCACAGAAGTTGCCGACAAAGAATTTGCAAAGCTGATTTGCATGCAATTTGTACAGAGTGTTTATCAGCACCCGAAAAGGTCTACTCTTCAGAAGGCTGAGAGGCTGGCCTCGTTGAATTTCTCAGGCCAAGACTCACTGTGCCAGATTGACCCAGAGACCACCACCCTCAGCTCTGAGCCCCTTCAGTGCCCAAGGGAGGGCAAAGGGACTGGGCTACAGGCACTGAAGTGGTTTAAGGACAAAGCCATCCACCTAGGTACACAGACTCCTTTGGCTGGCCCCTGTCAGCAACATCAAGGTGTTTGATTTTGGCTAGAATGCCACTTTGCGGGGGCCGGGGGGGGGGGTGGCACCTCGGTGTACCCAAAGGCCCCCTTCTCTCCTCAGGCATATTGGGTGAGGTGCAAAGAGAACCAATTAGGGTAGTGAGACCAAAGGAAGGGAGTGATGGAGGGATAAAGGAGTGAAGGAAGGGGGAAAGCAAGGGAGAACAGCAGGGCGGTTGAGGCCAAAGGGGTGCAGAGAAGCGGGCAGGGGGCTCCGGCTCCTTCCTCCATCACCCAACCCTCATCGCTAGGGGAGGATACTGGGACCTGGGATTGTGGCAGCGGCACTTTTTGGGCTCCCCCATAGCCTTGGGGTCTCAGCAGGGGACTGGACCAGAAGAGAGCCCAGCGCCCTCTCACCTTTTACTTGCGTCTCATACTCGGCCTGCGGCCCCCGCTCCCGACGCAGCTTCCCGTGCGTGGCCATGGAAGCCGGGCAGCGGCGCCGTCGAGCCCCACTGCTCTCATGCAGCAGCCGTTAGTGGGCTGGGCACTGGGACCTGGGGTTCCAAAGCCAGCACCCTGCACCGGCCCCGCCCCTCTCCGCCCCCAGAGAGACCGGGGGCGGGGCGACCGAGGTTTTGTACTGCCCTCAAGGGCCTTCTGTGGTTCTGTGGGAGTCCCACCAGCCTGGGTCCTTGCCTTCCCTCCCACTGGGCGCTGGGCCATACCTGAACTGCCTTGTGCCCCAAGCTCTCCTGCTAAGCAGCCTGGGCCAGTGTGAGAACCCCAAGGTGTTCAGCAAGCTGGCCGCCTCTGGCGGCCGTCCCCCCCCCCCCCCAGAAGGCTATCTGGCCACCACTGCCAGACAACACCCTTTACAACATGGCCATTGGCCTTCAATGCCAGTGGGTGGGGACATCATAGCTGCTCCAGGCCCTGGACTCCCCTTAGTCACCAGCTTCCCCCAGATCCCCAGGACATCGGATGGGGCCCAATGTTCTCAAGTCACAGCCCTGAGAAATTCCCAGTGTGGGGTGGGAAAGAAAGTCAGCACCAGAGAACAGGACCTCAGCAGCTGTTCTTTTCAGACCCCCACGTGAGGGGGAGATCAGTGTTCAGCTAAGGTTCCCCTTCTCCACCCCATAGGGAGGAACAAGCCTCGTTTCCCCATAGGTGGTTACCACTTCCTGCTGCCGGAAGAGACTCTTCTGTCTCCTTTCCCCTGCAGCTTGCACCTGTCTTGTCCTAGGCCTGGGGGTGGGGACACAGCTTTCCAACTACCCCCTCAGAGTAAGGTCTTAGCAAGCCTGGAGGCAAGTCTGAGGCCTCCCTTAGCCAGGGGTACTGTACTTTCCCTCTCTACCAACTCACAGCCACAGGGCAACAGCTTTTCTCTAGCAAATTGGGAAGTCAGGATGCAGGTGGCAGGTGACAAGCCAGACTATTTAACTGTCTTCCCTTGGCTGGGAGGAAAATCCCTGGGGTCTAGATCGTGGGAGGAGTGATGACGCACTTAGGCTTGTGCTTGGGGATGCAAGCCTGTATGTACTAGTGCAAAGGGTCCAAGCCTTTGTGTGCATGGATGTCAAAGTCAGGCTCTGTGTACATGTGAGCACACGTGACCTAGACCTGCAGCTCTTCGGGAGGGAGGGCAGGCAGGCTATGCAGGTACTTCCTGCCTTTCAAGTACAAGCAATTCTCTTACCCAGAAGGTGAAAACATAACTCCTAAGCTTGCTGCAGACCTCCCCACCCCCCAGAACCAAGGGCCTTCTCTAAGATGCTATGTGTCCACAGAGTCTGGGGATGGAAGACCTGGGAGCTGGCCAGTCCCCAGTAGGTCCAGGACCTAGACTGCCAGTAGCTGGTTTGAGCTGTACCAACTGTTCAAATCCTCCAGCAAGGCAGGCGAGTGAGCCTCTTGCCTCTTCCCAAAGCATGAAAAGATGCACCCACCCTGGAAACTGCTCCTGATCAGGAATCCACACCCCTCAACATCTAACCCCAACACAGTTGGGCCCCTTTTTTCCCATCCAAGCCCTGAATGGTCCCCAAAAGTCCCTTACCCATTCAACAGAGCTTGGCACAGGGCTCAAGACCACTGGAAACTACTGAACTCATCCCAGCCCCTACTTTCAAATGCTCTCCTCCGTGCTTTTGACTCCAGAAATGCAGACGTGATGCCCCATTCAGCCACTGCTTTAAAACCTCAAGTAATTAGCCTGGCTTTTAGGGTACTCGTTTGGCACTTAAGGCTTGCTCTATCCTTGGCTCCATTGTTCCCAAAGAATCCAAAATCCCATTATCATGCATTAGGCAAAGACCAGATCCAAAGGACTTTGCTAAACCTGTCCACGAGTGAAGAGTGAAGTGTACACTGGTCCTCAGGGGTGACCACAGTGCTGACGGGGTCAGGTCTGCAGCGTGGATGACAAACCAGAGGAGAGAGATCAATGAAAAGGGAAGCCGTTACAAGCAGCCCACATTACAGCAACAGTAGATGAAAGCATGAATTGGGTAGTGAGGCCCCTCCTATTTTCCTACAAATCGGCTTTCCAGAAGCTTAACAATGAGGTATAATGTTATGCACCTCAGTATATAGGTTCATGGGGGGCGGGGGAGAAGGTCCCCGAAGCCTACCCCAGAAGGGCGAAGCCTTCTTTCCTTCTATCAGCCTTCCAGCCACAACTTGGTTTTTTGGAACGAAAGCGGCCCCTCCCAGAGGCGAGGGAAGTGCTGGGCCCCAAGGGCCAGTCGGGCCTGCGGCTTCCCCTCCTTCCCCTAGCAGTTCCCACCTCCGCCCAGGAAACCGAACTGCGTGGGGGTGGCTAAGCGTCAGCGCCCCGCCACGGACGCAGGGCACCAAGGGCAAAGGGCGGGCCGGGTTCTTGTGGGCTGGGCAGAGGGAGGAAGGCGGGATCCATAAAGGAACAGCGCAAGCCGCCACCGGCTCCCTCCCTCCAGCGCTGGGGGGCCGCTGAATAACGCAGGGACGCTCGCCTCGCCGCTGCCGCTGGACCAATCAGAGCCTGGGAACGAAGCCGCCGCAGCTCGCGAAGCGGAAAGCTCTGACGCCAGGCGCAGAAGGCGGGACAAGTATCTGTTTGCCACCCCTGCAGGGAGGACCGCGATTTGAGCCAATCAGAATACAGCATTCGCCCGAGACGGAAGCAGGCAGGCATGCGCAGACTCAACTTTCAATCCTCACCATCCCCACCCCGTAGTTTCAGCTTCCCCGGCTGCCTGTTGGTCACGTGCCAAGCGCCAGCCAAAGAGAATCGAGCTTCAAGCCTGGCGGCGAAACATTCAGCCTGGCGGGGGAAGTAGTGTGCCATCTGCAGTAGCAGGGACTTAAGGGACAGTGACAGCTCAGGAGTGCTGAGCTTCACCGGGAGGTGGGCAGCCCGGACAGCCTGCTCAGGGTCTAGGAGCAGCAAGTGATGGTGCTGCAGCCAAAGGAAGAGGCACAGGAACAAGTTTGGGGGTTATAGCGAAGCCATGAAAAACAGAGGCCTTTATATTCTGCATGAAATAACATTATCCATTTGTCAAAATCCATAGAATATACAGCCCTGGCTGGTGTGGCTCAGTGGATTGAGTGTTGGCCTGTGAACTGAATAGCCACTGGTTCGATTCCCAGTCAGGGCACATGCCTGGGTTGTGGGTGGGGTCCTGAGTTGGGGTGTTCCAGAGGCAACCAATTGATATTTCTCTCCCTCTTTCCCCCTCCCTTCCCTCTCTCTAAAAATAAATAAATAAATAAATAAATAGATGAAATCTTTTTAAAGATCCATAGGATGTACCAACACAGAGAGGGAAATGTAAACCCTGGACTGTAGTTAATAATATATCAATATCGGCTCAATTGTAACAAATGCAACACAATGCTCAAAATGTTAATAGGGAAAACTGCGGGGGTAGAGGGGGTACATGGTAACTCTGTACTATCAGTCCATTCTGTAAACCTAAAACTACTAAAAGTCTATTAATTATTTTCAAATTAAGGCTTAGATTAGGGAGTAGATTCAAGGAGTACTATGGTGGTCAAACACACAGGACTCACGGACCTTTCAGATGGCAGGGGAGAGATGAATCAAGGGCAGTTGCCAGGACTTCCGCCAATGGTAGCTGGTTGGGCCATAACCCAGATAGGACATCAGTAGATAAGCCCAGTGAGCAGTTGGACTTAGGCGTCTAGAGCCCAGCAAGGCAGTGACTGGGCAGGGCTCAGAAGGCAGAGCATCTGCCCCCCCTAGGTGGGTGTGGCATCCAGAACTCCAGGGTGTTCCTCCCTAGGGCCCAAAGATGCTGAAAGCCAACAGACTTGGGAGTTCCACCTCCAAAGCCCCGACAAAGCTCTTCCCTTCTACTTGGGCTTTCCAGGACGCGCTGTGCCAAAAGGCTGTGAGGTCCACCTCCACAGGGACACAGAAGGGCCTGAGGCACACACCCCCCAAATGTGCACACTCGCACACACAAACCCCCCAAGGCCACTGGGTGAAGTTTATTGTGAAACCTCGGGTGAGGATGGGATGGGCAGGCCAGAGTAGGGAGATGAGTGCTTGCAGGCTCTAGGAGGCCGAGTCGGAGGCCTCTGAGCTGTCCTTGACGTCGGTGCTCTCTGTGGTCTCACTGACCTCGCTGAGGTCCTTGCTGTCACCACCGCTGTCCTCTGCAGCCAGGCCCTTCTCCTCACGACAGGGCTCTCCTGAGCCTGGAAGCGAGTTGCCCTTGCCCTCCACCTTGTTCTCGATGGCGCCCAGCACTGTGTGCCTGCTCTTCTCCTTCAACTCCAGGTGCCGCCTCAGCTGCCATCGGGAGCCCAGGGAGAAGCAGGAGGAAGGAGATAGGACTAAGTCTCCAGATCACATAGGCCCTCTCAAGCAGCCCAGGGGACTCTGTGCCTGTCACTTGCTGGGGGCAGGGGGCACAGTGAGACGCAGCAGGGCCAGGGCAGGAAACAAAGGACCGCACTGGGTTGAATCCTGGCTCTGCCCTCTCTGGGCCCATTTTTTCCCCTGTAAAGGGAGTTTGCTCATGCCTCCCTCACACAGGCTGCTGTAGGACCTTGACTTTCTCTTCAGCCCTGTTTTGTCTTACCCCTGAGCCTTGAGGCAGGCCATGGCTATCCCCAGGCCCCCACTGCTATCCTGGAGCCCTCACTCTCAGCGCATCGAGGGGCCTCCTCCCTTGCCTCTCACATCATGCCTCAGGGCGGCACAAGCTTCTTCCTGAAAATGGAATCTTGGGCCGATGTAGCCTCCTTCAAAGCCCTGACAAGGCCCAGCTTCCTCCCTGACAGGTGAGGAAACGGAGGTGACAAGGGTCAGGACTCCCAGCAATGTGGCCACAACAGCTGGCACCTGGTCCATCTCACCTCCAGCCATTGCAGCCCTCCTGCTGTTTTAGGGCCCCTGGGAGCTTCACCTTCCCTTCAGCAGAGCCTCCCCTACTTGCCTTGCTTTTCTTTATCTGTGGGGACTGTGGCCCTGGCCCCACTCTTACCTCATCGGCCATCTGGGTGAGATCCCGCTT